GAGAAAAACAAGAATAAGATGAAACTGATTTAATCGAGTGAAACAGGGTAAAAAGAAGAAGACTAGTGTTCTATAGAATGCAGATTAATACCAAAAACAGAATTAATCGAATGAGAATTCGATTCCTGCTCTGATACCAATTGTTAGGACCTATAAATTCAGATTTGGTATTTGATCCCTTACTCTTGATGATCTTTAGAACGATTATAGTGCAGCGGAAACAATGATAAGAATACAACAGAGTAATTAATCAAGAACACACAGATTGATATGAAGAAGATGAACGCAATAGAATAGCTTCAAAGGTTTTTCAATTGATTGAAAATAAGACGATTACAATACGGAAGCACTCTTAATTACAAAGGCGTAAGTTGCTATTTATACTAGTTCCTAACGACCTTTCTGACATGACCTAGATGTGTGAAATCATCCAACCCGTCCAAATAAAGTCGATTAAAGACCTAGACACGTGAGAAACACGTGCAGCTAACAACCTTTGAAAAACAGCAGAACAGGATCTTCACAGAAGACGAATCCGCAGACCCTCTGTGAGCCACCTCAGAGACTCTGCTGTAGAAGACTTGTAGGTTCTTATTGCCAGAGGACCATTTTCCAGAACCTTTGTGAAAGACAACAGAGGTTCTGTCAATCTTGACTTGTATGATCAAACAGCTTCTGTTGCTGGTCCTCTGTTGTCTTCTGTGGAAGAACCCCTTCTGTCAACACTTGCAGAAATCTTTTTCATACTTTTACATTAAGTAAAAACTGGAGCTAACAGTAACTAACTGCAGATAAACATAATCAAAAATAGAATAAACATTCATTTTAAATATATAAAATCTAAAATATAATTAAGATAATTATTGAGTTCTAAGATAATGTTTAATTATTTAAAATAAATATATTATTAAACCAAAAATAAATTACTTTGCTATTAAATCTAAATTAAATTATAATAAAAAATTGAATTAAAGAAGTTATACCAAAACAACTAAAACTATTAAAGAGTTAATTTGATACTAATATCGATTTTTTTTTCAAATTTATATTTTATTAAAAAATAAAAAAATTACCGCTTTCTCAAAACCACATAAAATTATATTATATCGATAAAGACAAATAATAAAAACTAAACATTAAAATGAAATTTTATCTCACTGCATTACACAGTACCCTTCCCGTTACTATCTATACTACATATATAAGCATTTAAGTCATTATCTTAAATACAAGTTATTAAGCATAAGTTACAACCATTTTATGCAACAAATTCAAAAAACTCTTAATTACAATCCATAAAGCATGATGTACAAGTGTTTGATACATTGACATCTCCAATGGTCATACTCTCTTTCTTTCTCTTCGTGTTCCTTTTCCAGCTTTTCCCTTCCTTCAAAACCTGTTTGGACTTTTCCAGCTTTTCCTTTCCTTTAAAACCTGTTTGGGTAAGGTCAGACTTGCTTTCTTCTCTTCTTCTCTTCTTTTTCCTTTTCCAGCAAAACCTATTTGGGAAGGTCAGACCTCACTTTCTTCCATTCCTGCTGCCTTTGCACAAAAGGGGCTCCCAAGACGACTCATTTATGCATTGTGCATTGTGCATATAACCAGCAATTAGAAGTTTAGATTTATCCATCAGCCACAGCTCTAACTTCGGCTGCTTTCATCGTCGGCACCGCTCCAACTTCGGTCGTCTCTATCTCGGTAGACCCAACCATCTTGCTCGATCTGTTGCTCCATCTACTTCTCCTTGAAATCGAAYTGTCCAAACCACATATCTGGAGGTTCTTCTCCTCGATCTGTTTCTCCTTGGAAAGAAAAGCCACAATTCTGTCCGATCCCAACCACGGTTATGTTCTTCTCTTCGATTTGTTTGAATGGAACCTGAGTTAGTGAGTTGTATGGCTTTCTCCAGGTAAGAGTTTGACCTATTTTTTCTCAAGTTAGCTCTTTCAACTAATTTTCCTTCCATTGTTTATGGCTTGAAGGTGAAATATCTGTTGAAATTCTTCTTCTTATGGTCATGTAACCTAAAATTGGTGGATATGATGTTATGGATAAGGTATGCAACTTTTCGAACATTCCTATTTCATTTCATTTTTTTACCTCTAATTAGTTGTTTCTACTATGTTCTTTGATTTCTAGATTGTTGATTAGTAATGGAAGTTGGTAAGATGGATTTTACATTTTCATTATTAGTCTTTTTTTAATCTGGGGTTTTTGCTCCTCCTTTTGCTTCCAGGCTTGGGTTTTCTTATTCAAGGCATATTAAGTTGTCAATACATTGATCGTATTTTGTAAGTGGCAGTTTGGTTTTTTCAGATTGTGACAATATGTTGATGAGTTGCAACTAGAATATAATACATTGCTATGCTTATGTTGTGATTCTTGTCTTTGTTTGTGCTTCTTGACCTTTCACTATTTTATCATTGTTTTTGAAGGCATCTTCCATCTTGACAAGTAAGGTTTATGGTTTTTGTTTCCTTTTTTTTTATGCATTTTGCTTCTTTGCTAACAATTAAGGTTTTATGTGTCTTTTGATATTTGTCCCTATTCTACCAATTGAGACATTTATAAGGCTTCCTTATTTTTTTTGATTCATTAATTAGATATATAAGAAAAATAAACACTAAAACTCAAGTCTTATCTTCATAAATTGGTTTGTTCCCATAAACTAATATTGTTTTATATTATATTCACGTGTTTATTTAATCTCTATCCATCATCCTTTTGACATACTAAATTTGTTTTTTCTACAAGATATAATTGAATATGCGTCTAAAGAAATCCTTCGGTGGGTACACCGAATAAGTTAATTGTTCATGTTTTCTTGAATCACTTTGCTGCAAACATTGTTATCCAATTTGAGACCCCTGGCATACCCTTTTCACATCCCCTTTATGTTTATGCTTAGTTTGTTACTATTAGGTTTTGTATAATAATTGCTCTAATTGCAAGGACACATTCCATTGGTTTCTTGATGAGGAATTTCTTAGACAAATGATTGTTGCTCTCAATCCAATTAGCATAAGTTTGATACTCCTAAGCATTTTGTACACCAGGTAGTACTTTCAATAATGTTGAATATATGTTAATGTGCCATAAGCACTTAATGTCAATCTATTAAGTGAAAGGTAATTGGTTATGTTTGTCCTCCAATGTGAGTGTGTCATATAAGAATGGTTATGTATGTCAAAAGTGGGTTGGGGAGGTATTGATCCCTATTTTTTGATGTCTTCTTTATTTCTGTCATCAAGAAAGTGAACATCAATGAGAAATAAAATATAAACGTCCCCCCTCTGTCTTTATTGCCACTTAGGGGCTGTTTACCAAACAATTACCCGGTAAGAGCTTACTGGTAAAATTTAACACTATCATTTACTTATCGGCTAAAATTAGTCCATCAAAACGGTATCGTAAGCAATAATTTACCCGGTAAGCGCTTACTATGGTAAGAGTCGTCGTCCTCACTTACTGGGTGAGACTCTTGGTCTTTTTTTTCGCTCTTACCGAGCAAGAATTTTTGGTGCTTACCATATTCATCCGATAAAGGTTATATGACTTGGTGTTCACTTACTTAAGTAAGCGTTTAGTAAACGGTCCCTTTAGTTAACTTTGGGTGATTACAAGGTATTTATTTTTTCAGGGATGTGTTCTACAGGAAGTTTCAAATTATATGTTTCAAATTATCGTTATTAAGAAAGGGTATAGGAAACTAGCGAAGTTCGTTTCCTGCATCATTTGTGCATTCTCCTAATTACATACTTTTGAACAACTTAAATTTTATGTAGAGTTTTATTAAAAGATGTTGTTTTTCCTCTTTTTTGGAGTACACTACATTACATGCTTGAAAAGGTTGTCAAAGTTGACGATCGAACTTCTGAAGATCTCTGTATTGATGTTGACAAGATTGTCCGTGATATTTTGGTCTATCAAGTTTATGTTAACAAAGATCAGATACACCATGTACATATATCATTTATGTCAAGTATCATTCGAGTCACCGGCAACAGTGCTTCTTCCTTGCTAGAAGTTTAGTTGTAAGTTGCTTCAAATCATCTTGTTATTTCATTACTTATTACTTGTCACTATGCTTTTGAAACATTAGATCACATTGCAGATACAAATTTTGTTCTTGATATTTTCTCTTTACCTACCACAAAATGAAAGTACACATTTTTTCCCCAAACACTCAATTTGTGAATACATTTTGAACGGATCATTGACAAGGTAGTTTCTCACTTTATGGGATGATAACTCGTGGGATGTATTTATATGGTGCCTCCAATTATCTATGCTCATTTAGCAGTTATTCAGATGTCTCAATTCCTCAAGTATGAGAATCCCAAAAACTGAGATAACTGGAAGACTGACTATTCTAGAACATCGATTTTGCAGATTTCAATGGTTGAAAAACAATGAGAATATTTATACATGTAATTTTAGCTTGAAATCATAACAAAAAAGTTAAAATTGAAATTCCTTTAGAAATCTAAAAATGAAGATGATTACAGTCAATTTTGGGGACCAATCTTAATGATAGGAAATTGTAACACGTCAAATCACAAATTGGTACAAAAACATATATTCGTGCAAATTCTTAACTGTGCTCATAGATGTTTTGGCTTGTGAGTGGTTTATTTTTTTAATTTGGTGCAAAAACATACATTTAGTCAAGAATTTCAAGTTTTGTAATGAGTTCTGAGTATATGGGTTTAGAAATCCAATACGTGTGCAATTATTTTTCCATTCGATCTTGCTAATACACCATATCAACTTTCAACTTTATATATTAGTTGACTTGTAAAATAATCAAACAAACTCATGATTCAAGGCAAAAATTAATGTTTCAGAATTGTAATTCACATGCGCTGCATCGTACAGTTACAACACTAGTGTATATATATATATACACACCACACACAACCCATTAGATCCACAGCACAATTTCAATTTCATAACCTTTAAAAATCTTTTAATCCCAACCCATACGATTTTGTTTTCCAAAACTTAAATATTGAGTTGGATAGGTCGATTGACACGTCCCGAGTGCTCCGCTTCTGGCCCAGCCCTAGTTTCATATCTGGGGTTCCTGCTCCTCTGCAAAGGAAACAAAGTTGCTTCATCGCTTCCATCGCCTCTGCTCCAATTCATCACTCTATCTAATCCAATCTCGTCGTTTTGGCGACTGATATTCCGCCATTACTACATAAATTCCTACACACAAAAGAACCCGCAGGTTTTGTTCCTCGTACAAGGATGGGCAGACAGAAGGGAGAAGCAGCTAGAAGCAAAGCTCGTCCTTCTAGCAGCAGGCAATTGAAAACTTGATTCTCTTGCCGTTTTTACATATCTACCCACACATGGGTTGTTTAATATGATTTAAATTAACGATTTTTGAAATTGATTGATTGCAGTTTAGCTGCTTCGCTGCTACCCTCGGGTGCTACTGCGGTTGGATTTGGCGGTTATGTCGGCACTTCACGTCTTGATACTTCTGTACCAACAACCCAAGACGCTGCTTCTCCTTTCTGGGTATTCTAAGTTCCGTTTTTCTATTCTTTTTGTGTTCATCCTCATTATGGCAAGTTTCAACGCTTCAAAATTTTAGATACAAGTGAACATGAAGCCAATGGCAGTTCTGAGATAATGAATTCAGTCACATGGTTTACTCCAGAAGTAATCTACACATTAACTGTGGCTGTCAATTGGAATCACTTTTCTGACTTCAAGATTGATAGGGTTGTTTAACTTTCCCGGAGTGTTTTTTGAACCACATCACTCACTAATAACAATTATAGTTGGGAAGAACATCTATATAATTTTTTCTTACGTGAGTCACAAATTACTTAAGGGAAAACTTAGCAACAAATGGAAATTTTTTCTTGGTCACAAATCCTTTGATCAATGATCTGTGTAATCGCAATAAAGTGTAAGCCAATGTTTTCAACGTTGGTAAATTTGCCCATCCTCAATGGTGGTTAATACTTATCAAAGAAATCATTTTTTTGCCAAAAACAATCATTCTCGATTCTTTCTTTGGAAGGTAGGATTATTGAATCCAGTGTGGCTAGTTTGCAATTGGCAGCGCCCAGTTTGTTTTTGCAATGTCTTTGGAAGCCAAATGTGTTGCATAGCAAACTGGATTTTAATCAGCATTTGTTTTGTGGAAGCACTGAGGTTCTGTGTGATAGTGTTGATACTATGTCTGATGAAATATACATAATGATTTGGGAGCTGTTAACTGTAATGTAGGACATTGATGGTGAATTGGCACAACATTTGAAGAGGCTTTCCAGAAAAGATCCAACCACAAAGGTAAGAGTATGAAGGCTGTGTTCACTATTTGAAGAGGCTACACTGGTTTCTTGTGTAATTCATATCTAGTTTTTGAAACTCAATGAATGCTGTGTTCACTATTTCATTCTGTTACTTGCTGCACTTATTGACTTTCTGTTCTGCTATAATATTTTATGGCTCTGCAGCTGAAGGCTTTGACGATTTTGTCAACACTGCTTAAGCAAAAATCTGCAAAGGAGGTGTCACCAATTATTCCACAATGGGTATGTTTATTTGTTTTTATAGTTTCTAAAATCTGGTCATCAGCATCATGTTTCTTTTTGTTGCCATGGTAGTTACTTAGCTGACTGGTCCCATGTATAATCATTTGAGGCTTGGCATATTGTTTTCTCTATAGTCGTGTTGCCAAATAGTGTTGACCCGTTGAAGTCAATATGAGGCATGGACCAATGGACCTGGGTTGATGGCATTGTTTGACGAGTCAATAATTCTGCTTATAATTTACAATACTAATTTGTACTGCTATAGTATAACAAATAGCTTATTGGGACTAGCTTCTAGCACTATGAAAAACTAATATAAAATGTGGGAAAGATACATGCTAAGCTATTTAAATTAGCTTCTACCAATTTTGATTGGCCTTGTAAAATCTTAGAGATCATGTCAATAAGGAAGTCGTCATTGTGGAACTCAATGTGAGCTTCCTATGTAGTGGGAAGTATGCTTCCTTCATGTATAGTGCCAACATATACTTTCATGCAATATTGATCATTATTCATATTGATTAGATGTTGGTAAGATTGTGAATGCTGCAAAATTTAATACACTAGAAGGAAATGATGCTGATACATTTTGTGGAGCAATGTGTTTCTAGGGTTAAGGGTAATATATTCAATTTTCTTTTTCTTTTTCATTTGGGGTTACTCTATATATGCCTTGATTTTTAGGTTTTTTTTACCTATTATCGTTGCTGAACTACATAGGGCCTTCCAATGATTGTATGATTCTTCACCTTTATTTGTCTAAAAGGCCCAAGTTTGCATCTACTTAGTGTTGAAGGGAAGCTATCAGAAGTAACCTTGGGAAATTACAGTTTTTATGTTCAATCGTTCTGTAACTGCTATGAGTTGTGACCACTTTTATGTACATAAGAAGTTAAGAACTTACACAGTTGTAAAAGACTCATACTGATCCAACTTCTGGTAATCGTAGCTTGGTTGTACATTTGAACATATGGTTCATATACAAGTTTCCTTACCATACAAATCTGTGCCCTTCCAGAACATTCAGGCTTGGCAGTGAATCAGCTGTTAGAAAGCACTTGATATTTATACTCTGCTCTTTCAACTGTTACTTATGTCCTCAATATGTTACTAGGAAACTATTAATGGTTCCTAGAATGTTAGGGGTCTATCTAGATGGGGGCATGTATCTTGGTCGCGTCATCCTTCTTTAAAGGTTATTTGTTTTAATGCCACCCCCTCTCTCACCCTAACACCCTAGAAAATCAAAGCCATAAAGAGATTAAAGAAGGAAAAGTCTATTCCCTTTCTGCAGTATTTATGTAGCTGATGACGTTTTATCCCATTTTACCAAGTCTTCTTTGGCTCATGATTACTGATTTCTGACTTGTGACTACATTTGTTTTGTGGCTTAGGCATTTGAATACAAGAAGCTGTTGCTGGACTACAACAGAGAGGTTCGCCGAGCTTCTCATGATACCATGGCTAATCTCGTCAGCGCTGTTGGGTTTGAGCTTACCTTATGTTCATAGGGATAATACATATGTAGACATGAACATGCTTTAGTGTTATGTAACTTAAATATAAATTTTAGAAATTTTCCTGTAAAGTTGATACATGAGAGTTAAGACTGACATACTCCCTTGCAAATCAATTATTTGTTCATAGAAGGAAGCCTAATCAATAATAGTTATATATTTCACATGCTTCTATATCTTTGAAGGTTTTCTGAACTTGGTACTGAATATTTTCTGTAATTTATCATGCAAGATTCTCTCTCTTTAAAAACAATTTCATTAGATGTATGTTTTTTCTTACCCATGCTGATAAGATTTGAAAACTGCATAATTTCAAGCACCAAACTGATACAGATTTGAGTTTTCTTGCAGTTGATTCAGCTTCTTAAGTTTCTTTTCATTTCTCATTGTTTTACTATTCTTAAGATGCATATAAGTTATGTTTTAACCAATTAGAAAGGATGGGATTCCTTCAAATTGAAAAAGTTGGCTTGATCCAGGAGGGCTCCTTTTCCCAGTTGTCATCAATCTCCAACATCATCATATTATTTGTTCATAACTAATTTCTTGGGTGAACTGTCTCAATTCTCGGGCAATCGCACCAAAAGTGCGACTTGTCAGATATATTGGGCCATATGGGATTTCCCCCTTTTTTTAGGGAGAGGGGTTATGATTTAGTTGCATGTTGCCTTCTACTTCAACTGAACTCGTTTTCAGATCTCTTGAGCGTCATATGTAGCATTTCTGTTTGCTGTCTACTGACTTCTTATTGGTTGCTTTCTCTGTTCGTTCTATGAATTTCAGGAGAGATTTGGCTCCACATTTGAAGTCTTTGATGGGGCCTTGGTGGTTTTCTCAGTTTGACGCAGTTAATGAAGTTTCCCAAGCTGCAAAAAGATCATTTCAGGTTTTATATTGCTTGTAATGCACATTCGAGTAGAATCATATTGTTAGTTTGTTACTACTTAATCTGCGTACTTGTTTACTGATCTTGGAATGGAAAGTAATAGATGTTTCTGCCAAAATGGCTCAGTGAATTTCATTGTTTCATATAACGAGAGATGCTTGAGTGGCTTTTTTCAGGATCTATATATGTTATCTTGGGAGTATTGATGTTGTTGAGGGTTTTTGGAGATGCCATGAGTTTTGTGTGAAGATGCCATATAAGTTTTTATGTATCAGGTTGAAGAACTTTTAGCATTTATATGTTGAAATCTTTAAAAAGAACTTAAAGGCATTACTGCATAGTTCTTCTGTTTTTTTCCTTCTCTCAGATATTGAGAAAAAGGAATAAAGGAAAGATTCTTTGTGGAAAGGTAGATGCTAAAAGTTCTTCAACCTTATCCATGAACATGTAGTAGTTGGCATGTTTCATATGATTTACTTATCTGTTAAGTTGAGAAAGACTTTGTAATCTTACTTTTTACTCTGAAACAGGCTGCTTTTCCTGCACAAGATAAAAGATTGGATGCTCTAATGTTATGTACAGATGAGGTGTTTATGTATTTAGAAGAGAACTTAAAACTCACTCCACAAAGTTTGTCTGATAAGGCAGTTGCTTTGGATGAACTACAAGAGATGCATCAGCAGGTATGCACCATAACCAACATCGACATATTTATATTCTATGTTGTAGTTATTTTAAGGTTAAGAATTGTGTGTTTATGATTATGGGTTGGCTATATTATCTGTTGCCATAGACTTATCCTTCAATTAGGGGACTCGGACAGGATATATAAGATTATTATGTTGATTCTTCATGATTACATCTTACCCTTAGACTTTCCTGGATGGTGGCTCTGTGGCTGCAGGTTATTTCATCATCCTTGCTAGCATTGGCTACACTACTTGATGTCCTGACAAGCGAAAAGCATGGTCCGAAGAACTCAAGTTCTGAACTAAAACATGCTCTTAAAGCACGATCCACTGCTATATCTCATGCAGAGAAGTTGCTTTCAGTTCATAAATGTTTTCTGGATTTTCTTAAATCTCAAAGTTCTGTTACCCGATCTGCTGCATATTCACTTGTTACAAGTTGTGTAAAAAACATTCCTCATGCTCTGAATGAAGCGAACATCAAAACTCTTACACCTGCAATACTTGGTGCATTTCAAGAAACGGATCCCACTTGCCATTCTTCTATGTGGGAAGCAATATTATTGTTTTCAAGGAGATTTCCAGAGAGTTGGACTACTTTGAATGTTCACAAAACCTTGTTTAATCGGTTTTGGAACTTCTTAAGGAACGGGTGCTTCGGATCTCAACAAGTATCTTACCCAGCTTTGGTTTTGTTCTTAGACTGTGTGCCTCCCAAAGCGATAACAATGGATAAATTCTTCCTGGAATTTTTCCAGAATCTTTGGGCTGGAAAAGTTCATTCCCAGTCCTCAAATGCTGATCAATTAGTTTTTTTCCAGTCATACCGAGAATGTTTTCTCTGGGCATTACAAAATGCTAAAAGGTGTGTTTCATTTGGCGCTATCCTCTTTGTTTCTTAAGTTTGACATTTTCTTGTAGCATACATTGCACTTTACGTTGCTTTTTCACATGATGACACCTTTCATGTCGTAACATATGTATGGCATTCCTTTCACTTATATCTACGTATTTTGTTGAATTTGCTCAATTTTATGAGTGTCAAACACTACCTTAGAGCATATGTTTCTATTTTAGTTTACAGTTTCACCTTCAAATACTGTGTCCTTCACAAAATGCCATAACCAAAGAAACTGTTCTGTCCAAAAAACTAGCACAAATGAAGGAAAATAGTTGCTTTGTTAGAGTAGAAAATGTGGACCTAAAATCAGGAATATCCTGCAAGTAAAATCTGGAAACTCAAAATGGTAAGGGAGGGAGCATTTCTTTCTCTTTGAACTCACTCTCTGTTACTTTGATATCAGATATTGTGATGGAGTAGAATCTATTAACCATTTCCGGCGTACTATTGTTGATGAGGTGTTACTGAAATTATTGTGGCATGACTACCTCATGGTTCCAAGCTTTGTGAGCAATGACCGAACAGTTACTGGGCAGTTGAAGAGTATATCAGCGTCAGAAGTGAGCATTCAACCTTCTGAGGAGAACATGAAAAAGCTTGACAGCAAGTACCCAATTGGCCATGTGCGAGAGTTTGGAAAATGCATTACTGAGATCCTTTCGGGCATATTTTCCCTGGAACCTAACTTGTTATCAGCTTTTTGCTTAACATTCGTAGAGAATTGCCTAGATGCCTTTCAGCAAACTGACAATGTTGAAAGCTGCGAGAATATAGAGAAAATCATCGGATTTTTGTTGTTAGTGGACCTGCATGCTGTGCGGAAAGGTGACTCGTGGCCTCTATCTTATTTGGTGGGTCCAATGTTGTCGAAGTCTTTCCAGCTAATACAAACTATAGTAAGTTTCCGTCAGTTCATTAACTATTTTTAACTCTTCATCTCTGTATATGGGGAATTTGTCAGATATTTCAATGAATTATCAAATATTGACATCCTAGGCCAACAACAGGATGATTAGTTTAGTATATTATTTATTTTTTAAGGGGCACTTGGTTTGTTTCAAGGGAATGGGAATGGGAATGGGAATGGATATGATAAGGAATGATAATGTCGGGGAATGAAAGGTCATTCCTCTCAATTTACTAAGGTATGGATGATTACCCACTTATAAGTAATCAGTCATTGTATTATATTTAACCAAACATCATTATTCATCCCCATCCCCATCCCCATCCCCATCCCCATCCCCATCCCCATCCCCATTCCTCACACCCTAATACATGCATGCTAGGTGCATGAAAACATGGGAGGGTTATGTTTTTTATCTCAGTTTATCGTGGATAGGTGAAATTAGATTGACATTGAAACGACCCTATGAAACTACTGGATATAATCAACTCTAAAACACTTCTTTTGAAATTAAAAACTTGAAATTGCAACTGGAATTGAAACCGAAATGCCTTATCCTTGATCCGGATTCAACATCTGGAAGCTTAAATACAGCCAAAAAAATAAGATTCATTTGCACTTGACATTTGAGTTTGATGCCTCAAATTGGACTTGTTGAATCGAACAGGCTGCATAAAACAAACCAAAATTTGAAATCATGACTACCTGATTGTGTGGACCACCAAGAAGCTTCCATCACTACCAACTGAATGCTTATCATTGAGGAATTAGCAAAACACCAAAAGGGGGATGGATTTTTCTAGCTAGTACAATAGTTCTAATGCTTTTCTACTTTCTTCAATCCAGAATTTTGTACTTTCTTCAACCCAGAATTTTTACTTTCCAAAGGACCATTGTTTAGACGAGTTAGACTTGGCATTTGGAAAGGGATCAACAAATATGTTGCAATGGCGAATTGCATTGGCTAGTTGTACTTTGATCTTAAAATTAGTCAATAGACTTTCAATAAGAGTAGAATATTATGATATCAATTTGCATTAGTATTGATGTTCTTGGTAATGATTTTAGGACTCATCAAATGCTGTGAAATTTATGGTGGTTGTGGTCTTTACATTTGGACCACGCAAGGTCGTTCAAGAAATTGTGCGGGAACAAAATGAGCCAATCTGTCAATCAGAAGAAAAGAACACAGATCTGAGTTTGAAGCATTTTTTGCAATATTTTAAGGAGATCATTGTTCCTTGGTGCTTGCAAATAGGTAGCTGCTCCACCTTGGCCCGATTGGATCTTTTGCTTGCATTACTAGATGACGAGTGCTTTTCTGAGCAATGGGATAGCGTTATCTTACATGCAACTGTTACCTACGATTCCAATAATGCTCTCATATTGGCACGTCTCATGGAGAAAACAAGAGAGGAAATTATAAAGAGGACAGTGGCTGGAAATTTAAACCACGTACAGGGTGCAATCCCCAAACACTGGCATCATGAGCTTCTAGATTCTACGGCTCTTTTGATTGCTCGCTCTCTTCCTCCCTTCGGATCTTCCAATGCCCAGTTTATCTGGTAGGGTAAAACAAATGCTTACTATATGCAACTATGGCACTATTTGTTGCTTTACATATGTGCAGTGATATTATATTTACACAAGGATGCAAATACTATTCTCTGCATTCCATCCCTTTTTACCCATGTTCTCTTATATTATGAAATCATCAGATTGAAACAGTTGCTTTATAGCTGTTTGGCAGACGAATTGAATTATACAGTTTTTTAACTTAACAAAACAAAACCATCAGATTAACCATCAAACCGGATAACTTTAAGATTGGCTCATTCGAGTTCCATTTGTTGATGAATCTTCCCCAAACTTCTAATCCAACATTATCATGAATATAAAAGTGATATGCATATAGATTGCTAAAGATTTGTGAATCCTTGTTAATTTTGAACATTCTTCTTTCTTATATTCTATTTTTACAAGTTTTACTCTTTCTAGTTGCTTAACTCTTTTACTTTTTCCCATATTTGAATATCTTAGTGCTGCTCTTGGAGGTATAATGGAAGAAGATAAAATTTGCTTGGTGAGCGAGGAAACATCCATCTTGATTTTTGAGGAGATCTTCCAAAAGTTACAAGCTTTCATGGGGAATTCGAACTTTATTTGGGTCAGGGATGCTAATGCGTTGTTAAATGCTGAGGAACATGTAGCCGTCCAGGGATGTGGATCTTCGACGAGTGTGCTTGAAATGGCTACTTTTGCCTTGGAAGTGCTTAATGGTAGCCTCTTTAGATTAAAGACTCTTACTAAGAGCTCTGGCTTGCTTCCAGGTGTGTTGGCTGCACTATTCGTGATTGACTGGGAACATAGAACGTCAGCGGTTTTCTATGACGGACTTGATAATGAGGCATACGCAAAAGTCATGGATCGGTTCAGTTTTTGTAAATATGTGCATGCTTTTCGCTGCAAGATGGATGATAATTTTTTTAGAACTCTCAGTCTAGATTGTCGAAGAACATTGGGCAGTACTCTGGTTCAAGCTGTTCGGTGTGCTCTATTCAACGAAGATAAGTTAGACGTTGATCAAGTCACGTCTCTGGGCTGCTTTTATGTCCTGGATGTTCTGGATAGTCTTTGTCAAGGTGAAGTTGAGGAACAAACATTATTAGACGAGCTTCTAAAGAACGGTGATTCATGGCCTTTATGGATAATGCCTGATATCAATGGTGGACAAACATCAGTTACTTTGGAGATTGAGATAACTTCTTCCAAGGTGAGTTATCTTGTTTTCAAGCTTATTTTGGGAGCATATGTGTTGGGGTCCCACATCGACTTGACTTGGCCCATTTCCCCTTTATATACGTTGGAACCTCCCTTCTCTCCTCAAGGGCTCTTTTGGAGAGTGATATGGGGGTTCCACATATTCTCACAATATGTAGCATCTATGCTGTTATATCGGTCAAAATACGAAATATCAGTCAGGACCGATATTCGATATATCGGTTATATCGGTGATATATCGGAAATAGCGGTTAACATAATATTTCTTATATACATAATCGGGCTTCAACATCGCATCAAGAGGCCCGCGAACATCACTAGCGGGCTTTCTTTTTAAACCACGAGGCTGTGTTGAAGTTTGTGCTCGTGCTCTTCCTCCTTCAATAATCTCTATTCCATCTACGTCTTGCTCATCCTCATTAATATCATCAATATCATCAACTTCAACCGAATATTGTCGAAGGATTTCTACATTTCTATTTCGTTCTTTCTTTTTCTTATTCTTTTCACTAATGGATGCTAGAACTCTTTTTTTGATGTCATTACTCACATTAGGACAACCAATGACGTTACCTCCGGTGTGAGTAAGGTGTTCTTTCAACCTAGTGATCTCCCCACTCAGTTTTTTATCACATAAGGTACACCATACATAATTTTTTTTGGTTGGATCTTTCCATAACCCCCATTCCCAAGCCATATCTCCATTGACGCATTTTGTACCCGCGTCTGATGAAGWAGTAGTAGTAATCGGGGTCACAGATGCCCTTGAAGATTGACCCCCTTCTCTACTTTCCTTTGTTTTTTTAGTAATTAAGTTCTTAGTTCTAAGTTCTAACTTCTAACTAAGATAAATAAGAATAATCAAGTGAGTGGGTGGGTGATAGTAAGACCTGGAGGCTGGATTACAGTTGTTGTCGCTGTCAAAAGAGTCGATTACAGTTGCTGGCTTGCTGCAACCTGGTAAGCAGAGGAGATCGAGAAGAGAGACCGAGAAGTTGAAGTTGAAGTCGAAGTCTAAAGTTGAAGTCGAAGTATGAAGAAGAAGTCGAGACTGAAGACTGAAGAAGTCGAGACTGAAGTGTGAAGAAGAAGTCGAGATTTGAAGTCGAAGTCGAAGTTTGAAGACTGAAGTTGAAGTCGAAGTGTGATTTGTGAAGAAAAAGTTGAGACTGAAGTTGAACGTGAAGAAGTCGAGACTGAAGTTGAACGTGAAGAAGTCGAGACTGAAGTTGAACGTGAAGAAGAAGAAGACGTTGTGGAAAGATTCAGACCTAATTTAAGTTATCAGCCCAAAAAATTAGGCCCATGGAATAAGAAATTTAAGTTATCAGCCCAAAAAATTAGGCCCATGAAATAACAAAATAAGTTATCAGCCCAAATTTTTAAACCTTATAAAATCGGTATATCGGCCCGATTTTTACCTCAAAATATCGCTAAAAATCGCTAAATATCGGAAAATATTGCTGATAATATCGTTCCCGATATTTTGACCGATATTTGAGTTCCGATTTTTTTTTTGGAGCGATATCCGATATATCGACGATATATCGCGATTTTAACAGCATAGTGTAGCATTCTTATCCCAGTTTGCCAAAAACCCATTTTTCATCAACCTTTCATAGTTAGAAGTCAAAATTATAATTTTTGGAAGCTTCAAGAGTTAATGAGAATATGCATTCTATGATTGACTCAATACAACTATATATAGATAAAATTACATTCGGCTGCAATTTCTAGTGACCTTCAAAGTTGCCATGGCTACACACAATTCACATAGAACAAGATTAAACCATGCATCAGAAGCTCAATATTACAGCTCCCTCTCTGTTTCATTATGGGCTACGTGACCTCCAACTGATTTTGAAATGCATGCTTTACTTTGGTAAGCTCGGATTGGTGAGTCCATATCTTTTGCATATACATAAACAAAGCTTTCTTTTTGGCGCAAATAATTAAATCTTGGAACCCCTCGAAAGCATATCTACTGAAATTTTCATTTCTGTACTTTTTCTCCCAAATCTTCACCTGATCCTTTTATTTGGTCTTGAGATGGAGTAATCCTGCAGTTCTTGAGAGGAAAGAAGAGCTAAAGGAAATCTCTAGAACTATGGTTTTGTATTGTGCCACTTGTTTTACCCTTGTGGCTCTATGTCATATGCTGCTTTATTGTTCAACCGTTTAATTTTAAGAACAAAGTTAACTAGGAATTCTTGAGGAGTTCATATGGATTCTAAATCTGTGAGACTTTCACCAGCATTTCTTTTGAGGAGAATAGAAGTTATAATGGCTTGAATATGGAGGATGAGACATACATTATAGATCACAACTGTTGCTTACTTTTTATTTTGTGTTTCAGTTTGTTCAGTTTTGTCAGTATTCTATTAAAGGATAAGTAACTTACGAAATGTGTACTTCTATCTGCAGGCATCTGTGAGTCACCGAATGGCTGCTTTTGTTGACAAGCTTATATCCAAACTTGGTATTGCTAGGATTATTGCAGGTTCTGTATTGTGCAAGCCATCTTCCACTGAGGAGCCAGCGGAAGAAGTGATGACATCTGATTCTCATTATTCTCGTGCTTGGCTTGCGGCAGAGATGTTATGCACATGGAAGTGGCAAGGTGGGAGTGCCTTAAGCTCATTTTTACCTTCATTGATTCAATACACAAGGAATCAAGATTCTTTTCCTAGTGACAACTTGTTAGATTCAGTTGTCGAAATCCTGCTTGATGGTGCTCTTGTCCAAGGAGCAAGTAGTCAAATGAGTTTATCTATTATATATCCTCCCCCATATGATGAATTGGAGAATGTTGAACAAGTGTTTGTGAGAGCTCTTGTGTTGGTACTTGATACCCTTTTCAAGGATAGTATTTGGGGAAGAGACAAAGCTTTGGGGCTTTTTAATCTTCTTGTAGATAGGCTTTTTGTAGGTGAAACCATAAACTCAAATTGTTTGAAGATACTTCCCTTGGTTATGAGTGTTCTTATTGGACCACTGAGTTCTCAAGCAGGTGAATTAGCAAATGCGAAACCTGAGTCCTCGGAGGGAAATCAAATACATGATATCATCGAGGGTTGGCTCCAGAGGACTCTGTCTTTTCCACCATTGAACACTTGGTATTCCGGAGAAGGTAAAATTTGCATATTTTCCTGTTGCTACTTATGCCATTTCTAGATTCCATTTTTTTGGTTGCTACAAAAGAATTTACTATTTCTTGCAGATATGGAAGATTGGTTTCAGCTTGTGTTGTCATGCTATCCCCTAAGAGCAACAAAAGAAATGCAACAGTTTAGACCACAGAGATGCATCAGCCATGTGGAACAAGGTCTCCTGCTTGAGTTACTTCGGAAGCAGCGGCTTGGTTCTGCTACTTCCACCACAGTTAATAAGCTACCGCTTGTGCAGATGTTGTTATCAAAGTTAGCTGTTGTTGTAGTTGGATACTGTTGGATTGAGTTTAGCCAAGAGGATTGGGAATTTATCTTGTATAAATCAAGATGGTATATTGAATCTGTGGTTGTATTGATGGAGGAGGTAGCAGAGTCTGTGAATGGTTCCACTTCAGGTATAGTGGAGAATCTCCAGCATACAGTCTCGGCTTTAGATTCCTCTTGTTTAAAACTTGCAAGAAACGCTCTTATTGCCTTTTCTATGTTCTGCGGGTTCATTGGACAACAAATCGTCGAAAAGGAAAACGATCTAAATCCCTTAAGACCCGACAAGTGGGACCTTATTAAAGATAGGATTCTGGAAGGTATTCTTCGCTTGTTCTTTTCAACTGGTGCAGCTGAAGCCATTGCTGGTTCATATTCTTCCATGGCTTCCTCAGTTATAGCATCAAGCCGGTTTGATGACTGTTACTTCTGGGAGTTAGTTGCTTTAAGTGTTATTGAATCATCTTCTCATGCTAGGGAACGGGCTATAAAATCTTTCGAAATTTGGGGGCTAAGCAAAGATGCTGTTAGCTCCTTATATGCTATTCTATTTTCTTCGAAGCCAGTTCCATATCTGCAGTATGCTGCTTATGTGATTCTTTCAAGTGAACCTGTTGCAGACTCGGCTTTTTTTACTGAAGATACATCCTCTTCCCTGGACGAAGATGATAAAGATCCTCTTGATTTGTCTTTAGGAGCTAATAAGACTCAGCTGAGGGAGGAGATTTCCATCTTTCTTGAAAAATCACCATTTGAGATTCTTGAATTGGATTTAGTATCCCCAGAGAGAGTAAGTCCAAACCTTTGTTTTTTCTCATCCATTCCTTATGCAAACTAATCATGTATATATATATATATATGTATATATCGTTAAACTAATATAGATATGTATATTGCTAAACTTGACAGGTGCATGTGTTTCTTGCTTGGTCGTTGTTGATATCACGTGTACTCTCATCGCCATCATCATCTCCCACTCGGGAAAAGTTGATTCAACTCGTTCAACACACCTCCAGTTCATCCATATTGGATTGCATATTCCAACATGTACCACTGGAATTATGCTCTACAAGCGTAAAGAAGAAAGGTTGTGAACTTCCTGCTGGTATGTTGGAGGTTGCAGCAGCAGCTACTCGTGCCATCACAGACAATTCGGTGGTGTATGCTGTAGAATCACTTTGGCCTCTTGGACCAGATTCGGTGGCATGTTTTGCGGGTGCAATATATGGATTAATGCTACGAACTCTTCCTGCTTATGTTAGGGGCTGGTTTAATGATATACGTGATCGTGCTACATCTTCTGCGATAGAGTCCTTCACTAGAACATGGTGCAGCCCTCCTCTAATTACAAATGAACTGTCTCAGGTGTGTGTTTTTTCAGTGCTAACTTGAACTTAACTATATGATCTATTACCATTAGGGGGCAATCTGGTCATTTTAACATTTTCTGTTATTGCAGATAAAAAAAGCCAATCTTTCTGATGAGAATTTTTCAGTTAGTGTGAGTAAGTCTGCGAATGAGGTTGTTGCAACGTATACAAAAGATGAAACAGGAATGGACTTGGTAATTCGTCTCCCTGCATCTTATTCATTGCGACCGGTGGATGTGGATTGTACAAGGAGCCTTGGCATTAGTGAAGTTAAGCAAAGGAAATGGTTACTTTCTATGATGTCATTTGTTCGAGATCAAGTAAGCTTTTTATTATTATAATATATATATATTATTTAATTATCAATTCAAGTTGGTTTTTGTCGAGTTAAAGGAAGATGCATGTATGTATGTATGTATGTATGTACTCAGAATGGAGCATTAGCAGAAGCAATTCGAATATGGAAAAGCAATTTTGACAAGGAATTTGATGGAGTTGAAGAATGCCCAATTTGTTACAGTGTAATTCACACTGCAAACCATAGTCTCCCACGGCTTGCTTGTAGGACCTGCAAACACAAGTTTCATTCTGCATGCTTGTATAAGTGGTTCTCAACTTCTCACAAATCTAACTGCCCATTATGCCAGTCTCCCTTCTGATCATTTTATATGCATCCAAGGTATCATGTCTTTTCTTCATTCTCCATCTACCCCAAAACACACACACAAAACACCTTTTTCGTTCGTTAACCAAATGACAGATGGATAGTATGAGAATTTTTGTTTTAAATATTTAAGAATTTACTTCATCAACACTTGTTTTGAGACAGATGGATAATATGAGAATTTTTGTTTTGAGACAAACTGAAATTTGTTTTCGTTCTACTTATGTTTGATGGCTGGTTAGCAGCAGAATCTCCAGATATACTTGTTAACAAAATAGGAAGTGATGTAATTATTAAGTTGTGTTATTGAGAAGTCATGAATTTTGAAAGCAGCTTTTATAGATTTTTTGTATATGTATGTAGTCAGTCTCAGTGAAACTGACCTTCATACCGTATATTTATGCTCTTTTGTTTGTGAGTAAATTAATGCTTTTGATATTCTTTCAGTTTTGTTTTGTGAGAGAATCATATTTTATTTTAGCAGATTATTATCTAAAACAAAGAAAATGAGATAGAATTCTTTTTAGCTAATTAGATTATTAATCGTACAAAATATTTTAATAAATATAATTTTAGAACCGGAAAGATCATGTACATATTGTGTGTTTTTTTATTTATAAAACTTGTGTATTAACAAATTTATATTGAAATGAAAGATTTATATAAATATAATAGATAGGTCCTAAAATTAGACATTGGTACAATGCTTTTGAATTTTTATTAATAAATCAACAGAAATAACACTTGCAAAAGAACAAAATGGTCCATGATCATTTGGTGAATAAGACAAAACTGGTCCAGATTCAAAAAACATAATAGGTGTAATGTAAGAATGTTAAGAGTAAATGAGTTTTAAGTTTCAATGGACAAATAGTTTAAATCCACAACTTCCGACCATGGAAAAATATGGCCGTCAAAGCAACAATGAGGGCACGATGAGCGTATCCGTCGGGGAAGATGGTTAGTCGAAACCTATTCCTTGGTACAAGCAGCTTCTTCTGCAGCCCAAGCTTGTACATAAGACTAGTCTGCAGTGCACAATCAATCCTTATTTATTTAACACCCAATTATTATAAGCAAGCAACAAACACCAAATGAAAACAAGTACCTGCGCTAGTACTGAGTCACCGTTATAAATAGTGCAGGATCTATAGAAGGGGGAACCTCTCATCTTGAGATCAGACTTGTTGTTAGGAAGGAACACTTGAAACTCTAATCTAGTAAGTGTCTTTATCGTCCTCTCTACTCTGAATATAACATCCTTCTCTTCACTACTGTCCTCCCTAAAACCCTGCCACATTGCTTTCTGCACACAACCCTTATGATGCTATAAATCACCAATATTTCTATAAGCTATTTCTTAGCATCTTTTTACTGGTTTCTTGTTTATTTCCGGATGGAAACAAAAACACCCAACCCTTTATTTCAAATATAAAATGTTGTCCAGGTCAAAACCAGAAATTTTGGGAAATTTCTTTATAATATTCTTGTGAGATTAATGGCGGTTGTAGAAATGAAATTTTCAAAGTTAAAAACTTAACACGAAGCTTCTTTGAACTATAGAGAATCAATCAAAGGGGTTTTATCCAATTTCGCTTAATCGAAGCTAGCACAATTATTCCGCAATCAACAAAAGAACACATAAACTTGTCTAAAATTACAAGTATCAAGCAATTGACCTGTTTATGAGCAATGGAAATGAGGAGATTCCCAGAAGCATCGGTAAGTAGACGCTTAATAAACGTAGGAGGAGCTGGTGATCCACGAATAGAAGGAGGGTCAACAGAGAAAACTAAATTAGCAGAAGAATCGGTGAATCTGAGACTGAAACCACTGGAGGTGATGATTCTGTGTCGTGGGTTCTTCTTGGACACGAATAGATCTATTGGGATGCCATCGGAGTCGGGTTGATAGCATCCTTCACAAGAAGCCATCTATCACACAGAGTCTGATCTGCTCAAGAGAGAGGCTGGATTGGATTTCCATTTTTTGGTTAATGTTACACCGCAAATATGAATCTCACTTTCTTTTTATTTTACTAGTATTATTTTTTTATAGATTAAATTACATTATCTATTAGCATCGGTTCTGGTGAGAAACGGAATTAAGGTAAGAAACGATCTCCAACCTGGGATGCACAATAAGATGTATCAGATCAATTCTCGTATCGAACGCCATTCATAGGTGAGTTTGAGATTAAATGTGATCAAATGTCTAGATCTTTTTCACCTCAACTTTCATTCTCACACGATACTTCGCTTATCATTTAGTCTTTCAAACAAAATAATTATGGTAACTGTTATCTATGGTTCATTTGGGTTATACATCATGTTCTTTTCAGTTGGGCCTCTTTTGAATCTAATGCTTACATTTTTGTCTTTTTTTGAGCTTTTATTTTGATTTGGGCCCTTATGTTATTTTAATCCATTAACAATCAAAGAATATCAACCAGTAGGCACGAGAATAGGGCGGGGATGGGTGGGGACCTCAATCCCCATCCTCGTCGGGGAATATGATCACATCGCCATCCCTATCTCCAACAGGTAACGAGGATCTCCAAGGGGGAAACAAGGTTTTTCTCCGTTTATGTAAGCTATTTTAAATCAAATATGTGAGAGATCACATATTTTTAAATCTTATATGTTCCAATAAACCAAAAATCAAAAGAAATTTAATTTAACACAAAAATACAATATCATGTAAAAATTAATAACCTAAAACCTAATGAAGTTCAATTTAATCCAAAAAAACTTAAAGTCACACGTACCAAAACATATCTAGTAATATAAAACCACATGAGAATTTATTACTTAAATGAACTTTATTCTCGGTAGATGTCTGCTAATCAAGATTCTAGTAACACAAACAACTCAAACATCACTCAGTTCACTCTACGCTCGATCTTAGATAAAGAAAAACGGAACCGACAAAATTTCTTGGAATGGTCCTACATTCTGAGAATCGTTCTCAGGCATGAGGAAATGTTCAACGTTCTTGAGAACTCGCCTCAAAATGCTCTAGCTAGAAACACTTTTGAAAGTGTTCAGGATGCTTATGATAAGTATGTCCGATACTCTCTAAGCGTTTCATGTTTGATGTTAGCCTCTATGACTCCTGAACTTTTGAGGGATTATGAGGAAATGTCAGCATGGGATATGATTACCTCATTGAAGACCATGTTTGATCAACAGGCAATCATGAGAGATTTTATTGCATGCATGCATCAACAGACAAGGCATGAGAGATTTGACACTTTAAGGAAGCTTGAGCCTAAATTTGAAAAGTGCCTCTTTGTAGGATATCCCAAGGAAACTAGTGGGTATTATTACAATCCCAACAAGAACAAGGTGTTTGTTGCTCAAAAGACTGAGTTCAAAATGATTTTCTAACTAAGCCTAAGGTAGGGGATAGAGTGGAACTTGAAGAAATTCAAGAGACACCTAATGATGCACAAGTTGACATTGGGAATCAACAAGTTATTGAGCCTCAACAAGATGTTGAGGAAACTAATGACAGACAAACAGTCTGAAGGTCGAGGAGGATTCACCAAGAGCCAGATAGGTACCGGGGTACCTAGTTAACTATGAAGACATGGTTGATGATGAACTCATTAACCTACCAATATGTTATGTCAGGTGCAAAATCTAACAAACGACATGATGCTATGAAAGCCGAAATTCAATTTATGTCAGATAACCAGGTTTGGGATCTGGTAGATGCACACAAAGGCTGCAAGTAAGTGGATATTCAAGAAGAAAACTAACATGGATGGGATCGTTCATACATTCAAGGCTAGGTTGGTAGCGAAGGGTTTCACACAGAAACACAGAGTTGATTATGATGAAACCTTCTCTCCAGTAGCCATGATTAAATCCATTAGGGTATTGCTTGCTATTGTTGCATATCACAATTATGAGATACGGAAAATATATGTCAAAACCGTGTTTCTTAATGGAACATTGAGCGAGGACGTGTACATGGTACAACCAGAGGGTTTTGAACATCCCAAGCATCCTAACAAAAGTATGCAAATTTCAAAGGTTCATTTATGAACTAAAGCAAGCGTCTCGAAGTTGGAACCTTCGGTTTGATGAAAAAATTAAAGAACTTGACTTCATCAATAGCAAAGATGAGCCTTGTATGTACAGGAAAACCAGTGGGAGCATCGTTGTCTTCCTAATCCTATATGTTGATGACTTATTGTTAATCCCAAATTCAACCAGTAACAATGAATTAAACAGTCAAAGACCTTCCAGCCTAGTGGTAAAGGCTTGGGCATGACATAGTCATGAACCCAAGTTCGAGCCCTGGGAGGGGAGTGTTGGCGACATTTAAGTGGGGCCATGTTTAGCCTCCAAAATTGCCGGGGATTAGTCGGGCGTTGGTCCGGACACCCTTACAAAAAAACAATGAATTGCACAATAAGAACAACAATTTAGAGACATTTTTCGGCTCATCACAATGAGATAAAACAACCATATGAGTTATCTCCCCTACTCTTTTATTTAAGATCCTCACCTCTCAATCACTCAAGGATTACTTCTTGGGTAGAACTACTGGTTCTGGTAGCTCATTAATGCCCAATTAATCTCATACATTGATTTTATGAAATACATCCTAAAAATTCCAAGATATTATACTTTGAAATATTTCAGAAATCAATATCTAAAGTATGAGTCCTGAACTGATATGTTTAGAAATCAAAACAAACGTAGCACGGGTTCTAAACTGAGGTGTTCAGAAACTAAAACACTGAAATTCGAGCTTCAGACTGATTTATCTAGAATTCTAGACATGAAAACCGAATTCTAAACCAAATTGTTTAGAAATAAAAAAATTGATAAACATAATGACTCGGTATGCTAAGTGTTTGCAAAAAATATCAATGGATTAGAATGTTTAATTGTGAAGAACAAGTAACAATTATTATTTCAGATAAGAATTGAATCATTGATATGAAATGACGCACAATGAAAACAATTAAGATCTCAAACGCATATATTTCCACTTAAAATTCAACAAATATATGAGACGTGGAAATAACTAGGTCAAGAAAATTTAACACATGACAATTTAAGGATTGATATAAAACTGGAAAAGAAACAAACACGAGTAAGTTTCTAAGATTGAATTACCATAGTTCTTTGAAATTAAAAATCCATTCACTTATAGAAAATATATGGTACTTGTAGATTCCATATTCAAGTCTATAACACCAATTAGATCAAGATCAAGGACACAGATTGTAGGAATAATTATGTCGGCAAGTATATTGATGAAAGTTAAAGTACAGAGTGTTCTTGAGTTCTCAAAGATCTCGCATATACAAATTCTCTCAATACGATTAACCAGCTAACAAAACTTCTAACCAACCCTATTCATACCAAGAAATACAAAGAACAAACTAGCTTACAAAGCATGTAAACCTACGCTAAGATTATTTTTTAACAGGAATTGCTGAATATCAAAAGCTTATTACACGCAATCCCATTTTTTTAGAACGAGTTGAAGGAGTAGGCATTATTGGTGGAGTACCAGGCGCTACGGCGCTGAAGTAACCCACACGCAAGAAATAGGCCAATTCAGCGGCTTTTTGTAGCACAAGGACTTGAATACAACATTTTTAGACTCAACAATATCCCCCTTTGGATTCAAGTCCAAAAACAACAAATTCTTCAGATCTTTAAAACTTCAGCTTTAGCAGCAATGATCTTCAGAATTCATTCAAAAGCTTGACAAACTTTTATATTTAAGCACTTTGACAGATCTGATCTTTCAAGGCTTTTACATCTCCCCTTTGAGAAAAACTTTCTTTAAACAAGGCTTTCTTCAAACTTTAGAAATTTTACGATCTCCCATAGTCTTTGACAAACTTCTTCAAAGAACAATCTTCTTTTACGTTTTAAACAATCTTCCCCTCTGAACATTATAGAAAACATGTAATCTTTCTTTGCAGTCATTTTCAATTTTCTTTCAGTCTCCCCCTTTGAAATACATCAAAAATAATCTTCACATTTACTCCCTTTTAACAGTAACTCCCCTTTAATCACAACATGTCAAAAATCTACTGAAATAATCTTCAGTAATTTTTCTTTACTCCCCCTAGAAGCAACACTTTTCATTCATTTTGTATATACTCCCCTTATCTTCAGAAATGACTCATTCATTTAATAACTACTCCCCCTTATGATGTGAATGAGGAGCATACACATTATACCACAAAATAAATGATTTAGAAAAGTATGTCGACAATTCATAAAGTTTTAAGCAAATCTTTTCAAATTCACTTATTTAATCTTTTCAGATTAACATTTTAGGGAAAAACCAGATTCAACATATGAACCCGTTTTCAATCTTTTATAAAAAGATTGGTCTGTGAATACAACATATGTATTAAGTACGACGAATGTACTTTATATATGAGACTTTTGTCGTTCATCTCACCAGGACTACCATACAATCATTGATAGCTTGAAAAAGCATATCTATAAATGTTAAGATAGAATAACAAATATCCTATGAAATTTGTGCAGTGTAGAAAGATAAAGCAACGAATGCTTCAGAATAAGCTCAAATTAATAAATAGTGTGGACTACCAATTTATCAGACTCTATTTGTGATAAAAAAAAGACTTTAAGGGGGGGGGGACATATATCCTTTTTTTTCAATATCAGTTAAATCTAAAAGAGAAACCAATAGATTACGAGCTGCATGCTCCAAGTTTTAATGAAACACTTATCTTTTGAGAGATAAATGAGTAGTTGGTGGGGCTTTTAAACAAGAGTTGGCCTGAGCTTTGCCTTTTTCAATATTAGTCTCGAAAGAATTGAGAACTTATAGATTATGTGTTTTCCTGGATTATAATAGATGGATCGGGATTCTAATGTTCTTTTAAGCCTGTACACAACTCTCATTTAATTCTTTTCAGCTTACATCAACTACCCCTCTCTTTTTCATTTTCAGCTCAACACACAAACCCATTTTCATATAAGCGCCAGTATGGTTATCCTATTGGGTAAGATTATCGGTTCTGATAGTCCAT